ATCCATCCATCCATGGATTAAAAGATGTAAAAACTACATTTTGACTGATTACTAATTGTTGTCAAAATGTCTATATTTATGTACAATGTCTCCCATTTACAAAAAACAGTCGATGTAAAATTACAGAACCAGTACTTTTGTTCTATTAACTAAAAATACATTTTCTATAAAGCTTCAATAAATAATCTTCTAAGAAAATGAAAATTGCTTTTTAAAAGTTTTAAAAATTGTTTTATATGACACAAATAAATCAGTTTATTTTCCATTTTTTTTAAATTTATATACAGAAAGAAAAGGAAAAATCCTGTAAAATTACAGGTTTTTGCTAAGGTGCAGTTTTTCAGTCCTATAGAACGGTCACCTGCAGAAATATGCAGCAATAGGACCAGTGACCAGTCAGTCCTAGTAGAGACGTGCTCAGTTGTTGCAGCTGTGGTGGGTTGTTCTGGTGGTTATTGTTATCTCAGGGGAACAGAACAGGACCCCTGCTGTGTTTATTGGTGTTTCTTTGTGTAATTGTCCATTTGTAGTAATTTACAACAACACTTATATTCAAAGTTAGTCGGTGGTCGTGTGTCTGCAGAAGCTCCTTCATCTTCAGAAAGGCTGTTGCCAAGGTAACTGCTAAAATGCCTTCTGACAAAGTGAAACTGTCTGCTGCCTTCTGCCGTGTACGTCGCCCAGCGTCTCTTTTGTTTTCACGTCAGCTCAAATCGGTTCAGAAGGCTCTACCTTTGAACCCTGCGCTGGCATTTAATGAAGCAGACGCTCTCGTGCTCACTGACCTTTCCCCACTCGTAGGACCCGATGTTCCCCAGGGCCGAGCCCCCCCACGAGCAAAACACAGTGGTGCGGTCCGGCACCCATCCTCGCTTGGTCTGCTCCGTCAGCGCCGCGATGAGCTGATTCATGATCGCAGAGGTCCCGCCTCCCTGGTCGCTGTCATGGCGACTGCCCACCAGCACATAGCGATCTGAAAACGAAAAGAGACGCAAAGTTGAAGCTAAATTCTTACAGTTGTGTTAATTTGTGGGATGTTACTGCTGCACCACATCTGTCCTGGAGTTCTAAACCTAACTACTGAACAACAGGATGGAGATGGCAGTCTGAACAGCAGCAACCTTTACAGGAAGTCTGTGTCTCCTGCATTGTTTTTAATATCGTGTTTTACCACATGAGGCACTTTAATTCCCAGACGTATTGTGTGTGATGAGAAAAGTCAATAGTTCCACAAATTTCTTACACAAAGTGTTTAACAAAGTTCATATCGGAAATTCAGATGTTTGCCTCTAAACACGTTACAAATGTCAGAAAATAAAGTTTAAAAAAAGCTGTGAGCAACATCGTCATGAGTCGTGGAGTTAGACTTCCAACAGTTTTATGTATTTTTCAGAATCATGGCTCGATGATGTCCCTGAGCACACTCTGCACCGCCACCCTCGACCTCTTAATAGAAGCTGGAGGGGAATCAGCGGTTCTCCTATTTGATCATGAGTTACTGAACCTCAAACAGCCTGTAGTTCAGTAGTTAGCTGTCCATTTGTCCAGCAAATGCATCTTCTCTGGATGCTTGAATTTGTAAAACAGCACAACCTCCTTATTTTAATTTTCTAAGAATGATGAGACACGCTAAAGGTCAATTGATTTTGTGAACAAGCACATTGATGGAGAGCTGAGCATCACCACCAACATCCGCCTCTGCTGTGACTCATTTACGTTGGCTAGTTTGACAACCTTTCACCACTCGGGCTCATCCTTCATCCTCTCCTCTTCTCACCATCTAGTTGACCAACGAGCAGAAGAAGCCTCGTGTGCTGAGTTAACAGGTAACTCAGTCAACAGCTGCAGCATCTGCACAGCTTGTTTGTGATCATGTGTTTCGTTTGAACTAACTCGGGTCTGTTTGTGTGGTTGCTACGGGTTACTGGGGTGCCTTCAGCAGACGTCCCAGCACTTCAGAGCAAACTGCTAATTTCCAAAAGTAATTTTTAAAGCTTTTCGATTTGACTGGGAGGTTCATAACAAACTCTGAACATATATTTATTTGCATTTTACAGACACGTCTGGTATTTTTAGGCTTATGGATCATCTGTCTGGTCTTACCTGCAGATTACTTGGATGTTAAACTTTTTGATGAGCTGCAACTGAATTATAGAAAAACAGACTTTAAAGACTGACGCCATGTTACCAGTAAATGTCAAAGCGTATGTAGCGCTGCCATCCTGTTTGGATAGAGTTGAATTGAATTGAATAAAAATATGAATAGACCCCGTAAAGCAATACAAACAGTCACCAAGCGTCGAACCGAACTCCCACCGTAGTGGAAGAGCCACCGTCCTTCTCAGCCTCACCAACACCTGGACCAAAGCAAAATGTTTCCTCAAAATCAGGATTTCTCCGGTACAGGAAACAATCACGCTGTATTTACAGGCACACACACCGATAAGTGCGCCGACAGCAGCGGTTTTTACTAATTCTGCCACAGCTTCACCGTGCAAGGTGACTCGCTGTGTGGACGACCTAATGACGCACACCTGTTGTCTCTGACTGAGCAGATGATCTGCGCCGACACACACACACACACACACACACACACACACACACACATAGCGGTGATGCTGGTTGAATGAAGAGGCAGGTTGGCAGCCTTTTCACTTCACCGAGGGCACCATCTGTATTATATTTAAATCCCATCAACTTTTTGGCTTTGTTTTCTTTCAGTGACGATAAAGTTAGAGCTCTAGTTTAAAACATGAGCTCTCTGAAAAGTGCCGCGTCATGCTAACTTTGAACTCTGAGGAGGAACGGTTTGGAAACAGTGTATATCAGGACCGCTGAGTTTTACATAAATCATTTAAAAACTTGTTTATGACACTGACTGAAGCTGAACACAGACATGACAATGTGTGAACGGCCATTTTGCTGATGCGGTTAAGGTTCTCGAATAAGGAATAATGCCGTCTGACCGAACGCTGAGTAATTATAGAGCATTCATGTGACGTCAGAATAATTGGAAAAATTTGTCCCGAAAATGAAAATCAATTGGAACACAGCTGAAATCAAAGTTTGAGCAAATTTTGGCGACTTTCTAGATTGTTGATGTCACACGTATGAGGTGTGTCAGAAAAGTTCCAGGACTGGTGTCACAAAAGATCAAATCCAAACTACAAACTACCAGAGTTCTCCTTTCCAGTAACCCTCCTGGAGTCTACCACCCTCCTCCAGCCTTCTCTTCACGCCGCCATGCACTCTTGGAAGGATTCTTCAGGATCCTCTCAGCTCCGTCCTCACAGCCATCTTGATGTCGTCCACGTCTTCTAAACAGGTCTCCTTGATGACCCCTTTGAGCTTGGAGAAGAGGAACCAACCCCATGGAGCCAGGTGGAGTGAGTAGGGAGGTTGCTCCAGCACGGAGATGTTCTTCTCAGCCAGGAGCTGTGGGATGCTCAGGGCGCTGTGAGCAGGTTGTCATGGTGAAGCAGCCTCCACTGGTCCTGACACAACTCTGCCTCTTCTGAACGAAACAAACACTGCATGATCTCTGTAGACGAGCTGGTTGATGGTCTGAAGGAGAAAACTGGTAGTTTGTAGTTTGGGTTTGAAACACATCTTCTGTGACACCAGTCCTGGAGTTTCTCTGACACACCTCATATGACCATCAAACTAAAATAACCAACTCTTCTCATAAAGGCTCATGGAGCAATCTGTGGATGCATTTAGGTGTTAAGTTCAAATTCAGCTTCACATGTGCAGACGAGTATGCGATGTGTTATTTTGATAGTTTGTTTTTTGTTGTTACAAACAGCATCCTGGGAAAGAAA